TTTCTTAACATGTAAGTAAATCAATAAAATGCAACAGAAATTATCAAATATATGCTTTATTTTAAAAAAATACAAAGCAAATTACAAATGTATTTGATTATCGGGGTCGTCTTAAAGCAGCTCACACCAACGTGCTAACTACTCAGCGATGTTTTTATTTTCAATTCATTTTCTCTTAGGAACCCGCTTCCTAGTTAGTGTGCAAACATATTCAATTCCTTGTATAACATCAGTATAACAAAACTAAAATGTTATGCTTAGGTCACATTTAAGCCGATGGTCGGGCGACCAAATGATTTTCGTACGTCGGCTGAAAAAAACATGATCGGCTGACACTAGTATCGGGCGACGCAGATAGTCGCATTAATTCCTAGGAACACCAATACCTTTAAAGGTGCTTGGACACAGATTTGAAGTTAATATTTTCTCAGATTTTCTGTATAATATCATGACTTATATGTTGCTACATGTATAGCATTTCATACTAAAATATAATAAAAATCTTATTTCATCTCGAAGTTATTGAAACTTCAAATTTCTGGACGCGTTTGATTGACACATCCTTGCACTTTCACAATTTTTAATTTTATTCTTAATACTGAAGAAAAGTGGCAGTTTTGTTGTGTATTAATGAAAAGTATTAAAACTATAATCCAGAAAATTCAGAGTAGAAATGTTCGAAAGCAAAACCCACTCACAGTATTGTCAGTCCGTGTTCAGTGGTGTGTGCAGACTTTAACAATTGAACACACCCGGTGAGTCGTAAACATTAACAATAACAGAGCTCGTGCCCTGTTTACAGAAACAGTTTACGTTTCACGGGTGTATTCAATTTGTTAAACTCTGTTCACAACACTGAGTACGGGCTGACGATATTAGTGAGGAGGTTTGCTCTCGCACATTTCTACTCTGAAATTTCTGGATTATAGATGTAATGTTTTTCATTAATACAAAACAAAATCTCTTCTTTTCTTAAATATTAAAGATAAAGATAAAATTTGTGAAAGTGCAAGGATGTGTTAATCAAACGCGTCCAGGAATTCGTAGTTCCAATAATTTCCAGATAAAATAAGTTTTTAACTATATTTTCGTGTGAAATGCTATTGCAATATATAAGTCGTGATATTATACAGAAATTTTGAGAAAATATTAACTTCAAATCTGTGTCTAAGCACCTTTAAAAGTAAAAAATATTTATAAGTTGGCCAACCGTCGCCCGATCATCGTTCGCTAGGCCCAGTTTGATTTTCATCTTAGGTCGACAGTTGTACGAAAACTCTACTCCTAAATGTCGACCGACTGACGACCGACTTTAAAAACTGTTTGCCGATGGTCGGCCGATGATCGAAGGTTGGTGGACGGACTATCCAATGAGTGCTTCAATTGAATCGGCCACAGACGCAAAAAAAAAAATAATAACTTGACCCGACTGACATGCATAAAATTGGCCGGCCGACGAAAAAAAAAATCGGGCAAGACAACGCCCGATAATATGAAACTTATGTGGAAGCATCCTCAAGTAATGTAGATTCAAGTTTGTTCAAATCATGACTCCGGGGGTAGGATGGGGCCACAGTGGGCTATCAAAATTTTACATAGGATAATATAGGAAAAATCTTTAAAAATCTTCTTCTCAAGAACAGCAGTTGGTCATATTTATATGGAAGCATCCTCAGGTAGTGTAGATTCAAGTTTATTCAAATCAAAGTTTAACATAGGAATACATAGGGGAAATCATTAAAAATTCTTATTCTCAAGAACAGCAAAAACGTGATTGGTCATCATAAAACAAAAGCATCCTTAGGTAATGTAGATTCAAATTTGTTCAAATCATGATCCCACAGAGGGGACAAACAGGGGATCATAGTTAAACAAAGGGTTATAAAGGATATATCAATAAAAATTTCTTCTTTAGAAAACAAAGGCAATATTAGTCATTTTAGTTCAAAAGCATCTTTAGGTGGTGTAGATTCAAGTTTGTTCATGTAAATCATACCCCCCCCCCCCACTTTTATATTTGAACTTTTGAATAGCGAACAGATATCTGCTTACGTGAGCGATGTTGCCCACGGGCCTGTTGTGTTTGGTGGATTTGTAAATGTGATTGGTGTGTAAATCACATTGACGTATCTCGTATGCTATTCATGCAGCGTGATTGTGACGGTACATTTTGTCGTCCTGTTCATATTGTCGCCGACGACAATGTGTACATACACTCACTGAGCATATTGTCGTCCATTAGTACATGTCGCATGACAATGCATGCCAATGTTTCCATATAGGTATGACTAATCATTGCTTTGCTATTGTTGAGAAGAAAAAGTTTAAAGAATTTTCCTATATATTCCTGTGTAAAACTTTGATCGCCCTTTGTGCCCCCAACCTAGGCCCGAGGGTCATGATTAAAAGAAACTTGAATCTACACTACTTGGGGATGCTTCCATATAAACATCGCTAATCAAGGGCCTACTGTTGTTCTCAATATTTGATCCGAAAATTTCAGAACGGGGAAAGGGGGGTGCGGATTTTTATTTTTTTATTTATTTATTTTTTTTTTTTGAGAAGCCAAAATAAAAATCGTTTGTGTGTGAAGGAGTGTTACTGTATAAGATAAGTATATTATTTAATCATGAAATTTTACCTGTGGAAAAAAATTGAGAGTATATACAGGTTAAAAAAAACAGAATTTACAAAAGCAAAGAAAATGAAAAAAATCAAACGGAGGGGGCAGGGTGGGATAGGGAGGGGGTGGGGTGCGCCAGTGCTAGATCCGCCTTTGGTTCTTGAGAAGATTTTTAGTTTCTGTATACCGTATATTCCAACGGAAAACTTTTATCACCAATTGTGGCCCCATCCCACCTATGGGGGTCATGATTTGAACAAAATTGATTTTGTTTTTGTTTGTTTGTTTGTTGTTTTAATATCCCACTTGCCGGTGGAGGGTCGAAAATTTAGACCTATTCTTGGAACTCAGGGCCATTGAAAAGTGTGGGATCTTTTTCGTGTCAGAATCTAAAAAATTAAAAGTACACTCCATGTATGTACTTTCACATAAGTATCATCTCTTCTGATCCAGAAGTTCTTGAGAAGAAAATTTTGAAAGAATTATTCTTAAATATTCTATTAAAACTTTGATCACTTATTGTAGCCTCACCCTTTCCCTGACATGATCTGAATAAAAATGAATCTACACTTTATAATAAAGCTTTCACGTAAGTTTCAACTTTTCTGACACAATGGTTCTTGAGAAAATTATTTAAAGATGTTAATAAATTTTCACTAACTCTTAACTATGTACTTTTTTGAAAGAGGTCATGACCATTAATTTGAACAAACTTGACTCCCTTTATCCACGTTTGCTTTCTGGTAAGTTTGATTGAAATTGGCCAGTAGTTTCTGAAAAGAAGCTGAGAATGTGAAAAGTTTACCGACAGACAGACGGACGACACAAGAAATGTGATCAGAAAAGCTCTCTAGAGCTATCAGTTCAGGTGAGCTAAAATATGTCAACTCCTACACCAGTTGCAATTATATCGGCATGAGAATTAAGCAAAAAAAAAATGAATTCCAGGTAACATTTCTACTGAACAAATAACTTTCAATCTCATATCCATGTATATATAACGAGAAAAAAAATAGACTGTAAACCAATGCTGGACACAATTTTCTGAGCAACACATTTCTCCCTACAGTATTGCGAGTAATGCTAAATAAATACAACTTGTTTACTTATTTATCAGCCAAACACTCTCTCTCTCTCTCTTCACGACCTTAGTAAATATTCATCACAATATATCGGCGACAAAATGTGCCAATGGTCACAGTACATATTGTCGCCGACGACAAAACGTGCCGATGCTTGACTTTACATTAATTTTTTTGTCTTCCATAACGTAGGAGGAAAAAAGGCTCGTCTCGGTACAAATTGTCGCCGGCGTATGTATCGATGGACGACGATATGTGCAGTCAGGGTAGGTACATGTTGTCGCCGACGACAATATGTACAAAACGACAATATGTACCGACACACCCCTCTTTTTGATGGTATGCTTAACGATACCTTAAACAACATAAGATCGTAGTGTATACAATAACAGTAGCGACAACGGACCGATGACAACGGACTGAATTTTCGTATCTTGTCATGACAACGGACAAAAATTGAAATAAATCAAAATTTTCAGTTTTAATTTGTTCTCAATTTTTCTGTAAAGGCTTCCAACATGTCTTGATAATGTCTGCACTAATTGGTGTGTATATTATATTCTGTTTACGAAAAATATAACATCTCAGTAGGAAAACGAATCAAATCCATAAGTGATTTCAACAGATTTAATGTCGCCAACGCAAACTCTTCTTTTATTACTTGTTTTTAACGGCTGAAATTCATACAGCACCAAATAGGGTGTCAGCCCTGTTTCCCATTGCAATTTTCAGACATTATTATAGATAAATTAACTTAAAAAATAAAAAACTTCTCACAGCCTGTCTTCTCAAGTCATGACACCGGACGGATTCTATCATAACCTCACCTGTATGTTCATGAGAACGAACCAGTTTTAGTGCTTAACTTTAAAGGTTTCTGACAACGGTACTGTCTAGGAACTTAACGTGTTCCTGGCCGTGCTTTTACTCATATATGCTGTATGCCAAAATTGGTTGGAATTGGTTAAATGGTTCCAGAGAAGAAGCTGAAAATGTTCAAATGTCAACGGATTAAGCACGATAACAGATAGCAATGAGTGACTCAAGCGACCTAAAAACACTTGGGAATAAAAAATGCTCCATATGCATCAAAAGGAAGAAAATTATGATCTTGCCAAATTATTACACGATAGCTTAGAGGTATTTCTTCGCAATATCGTTATTTGAAAAGCGAACAAAATTGTGTTAAATCTCCATGCAGATGGAACATTGTAACATCAGAAATATAAGAAGACATCCTTTATTGATTTTTGTCTGGTAATGTACTTCCTTAATCAGTAAATGGACAACGATAATTCTGAGAAGATTTTATTTTCTATAAATCTAATTTCTTGCAAAATAACAACATTATTATTCACACCAAGAAAAGCTTTAAATTCACTCTCGGAAGGTACATGTACATGAAGTCATACACAATACATTTTATGAATTTGAAAATACAGTACAAAAACACATAAATTCTTTATAATGAAAATATCTTCGAATCAATTATAATGATTTCTTTCAGCTTTTAAAACACTTCATCAATTTTACAATTATTTCATCCGAAAAATACGATTTTGTTCATAATGTTCAAAGTTAATATTATAAAATCAGAGTATTTTCCCTTATGTATACTTAAACACATGCGGTGTAATGCTTAAGAACGTCCCACAAAAAGGGACGGCAATAAAAAGATGGGATAAGCCAATTAGTGGTAAAATATATCTATTTAAACACGCATTCTTTTAACCATTATGATAACACTTCGATAAATAACGCATTTACTCTTCTTCCAATTCTCAATTCACACGCATCCGAAACAATCAAACACCATAACATGAAAGATGCTAAACAACAGTAATTGCATTACTTGAATTCGAAGACGGGTTATCTTTGTTAGACTTTGATTGGAGTCTATCATTATTTTTGTAAGCATTTCTGTCAGCCTTAGGGGACCTGTCTGGGGGTCGTCCAGAGGAAAATGTACTCACACCTTTATATGGAGATTGAACATTATTTGTATGAGAATGAGGATTCCGATCCCGATGCCTATGCATCGGAGACGAAGAGTCTGTTGGAACTGGAGAGTATGAGTATTTATCTGATGAATGGTCTGATGATTTTGATATGGCAGCATATATTGGGTTCCCTTGAACCTCAGGTCTTTCATTCACTGTTTTCATAGGTGTCAACTGATTTTGTTGTTGCACCGATTGTGACGTCATTAAACTCGATGTTTCTTGTCGATTAGTGTCAGCCCCATTATTTCCGTTTTTCTTTGGGGTTCTAAGCTCTGTCTCACAAATTCCTTTGGCACGCTTGAGCTTCTTAATGCGGTCTCTCTGATAATATACACCGGCAAAAAACAAAATATTTAAAAACAACAATGAACAACCTACAGCAACTGTTATACTTAAAGGGACGGAACTCCTAGCTAAAGATTCCGCCTCCCGGGAGTCAGAAACAGGTGGGAGAATGGAAGTTGCCATGTTATCTCCCCCTGTTACAAAAATTTTTGGTTCATAATTTTCAGATACATTTTCAGATGATGTATTAGGTTCATAAGGTGTGTCCTTTGGTGGAGGAGGGGAAGTGGGGGGAGGGGCCGGAAACAAGCGGTGAAATCTGGTAATTAGACGCTGGGGCTCGTCAAATGTCGAGTCATTTCTGGGATCCAACAAATTGTGTTCAGCCGAGTCTGTTTTTTCACCATTTTTGATGTCTTCGCGGTTTATCTTTGGAATAAGATCCAACCACGTGGCCAGTTGTTTCCCGCGGTAATGATGTTTAACCTGAGGGCGTTTACCTATAAAGTTAAAAATAAGAAGGATGACGCTTTTTGGAGCTAAAAGCTAAATGCATAACTTTGACTATTAATGTTTTTATTCTGATTAGAAATGTTTCAAAGATGTTATTAGTATTTCACCCTTGATGAATGGTAATAACATGCCTAAATGCCTTAAATTTGATTTCACATCTCAACATCATTAAGAGTACATTAAAAAGAAAGCTCTTACTCATAAAAAGCAAATTAAATCCATTAGGTTTTACAAGATGAAAGATATTTCTCTCTATAATTATTGAACTGTAGCCAAATCACAACGGCAGTGTACTATGGAAATATTCTTCATATGTTAAATCTGATTAATTATCTGTTTTCTTCAAAAACTTTTTATCTTTAATATTTCGATTGCATTGTTATGATAATTATTGATTACAAAAAGCTAATGTTCTGATCAAACAATAAGTTATTAAAGTTTCTATAGAACCAGGATAAAAGGATAATAATTAAGTAAGAATTAAGATCTACCAATTTGAAGGTATTGCTGCTTTTTAAGGTCATATTTCGGCCACTCTATATCTGAAAATTTGTCCTTCTCAAATATTGTTTCTTTAACAGGCGTATTAGGATTTCTGAAAAAAAAGTGCATGATTTGATTACTCGAGAATTTTCGAGACAGTAAAATTTAAGGGGTGAAAAAGTTCAATCAAATAAAGTTTCATCTTAAAATCATTCAAATAGTGAAAATATTTTGTGGTTTTTTTTTTACACTATGTTAAAAATACATACCCCGACTTGGCAAAGTTTGTCCAGAATCTCATAATGGAAGCACTAAGGCGTTTTTCATTTTTCGTGTACTCGGAAGGAAAAGGTGATATACCATCGACAAGTGGTGCGCCAAAGACGTACGGTAATTCATCTCCAAAGACTCCACTGGACCACTCGGGAAAATTCTTGCTTTCAGAGTTTGTAGAATATCCAAACGAGTAGAAGTATGTTCCTGCATTTGTCTCCGCATGTTCTCTGGCCATTTTCACAATCGGAGCCACATACTGACCATCGCTGATCATTTCCATAACGTTATCCCTTCGCGTTTTATTGTCCTGTAGTTTTGTCCAATCGGAATACTCGTGATCCAAAATTTCAAAGATCTTCTGACGGTGGTACTTAAATACATTTTGCACATAGGTCCTCAAAATTTGTGTCTTTCGAAATTCTGAGATTCCATGTATGAGTTCTTCCTGTTTTAAATATGAATAAGCCTCGTTTTTAGTGACACCAAACATAACAGGGATTTTTGAAAAAGCATGTGAATTTTTGTCTCTCAACATACTCTCTAATGAGCCTCTAAAGAAGGTACCGATTTCTGTTGAAGGAGCAAAACAGGAAAAGTATTTCGGTGGTATTGGGGCATTGTTCACAAGTTCTTCTGTAGTTTTATTTTTGAAACACTGTATTAGTTTAGCAGATTCATTAATATATTTGCTACAGTTGACGTTGACTGCCAGTTTTTGGGCACAAGCGAGAGGATCAACGGACTGAGACCAAGAACTTCCGGCGGAACCACTCATCAAGATTGCGCGGTGGAAAAGGTTCTCTAAAAAGAAAAGAATCATATGAATAAAAGTTAATGATGTTTGGCTTTGTATCTATAAGCTAATTCCATATAAAATGTATATGACGATTGTATGTTACTAAAACCATATAAAAGAAAAATTAATGAGAATATTATTCATGGCAAAAATACAAACTTAGAACGTCTATCATTATCATATAGCAGTGTGAAACCATGCTCTGTGGCTCACCATGTGTCCTTGAGATGCAATATTCACTTATATTAAGTGTATACTTGAGAAATACATAATGGTTAAAACAATATTTTTTCTTTTAATATTCTTTGTTATACGGCAAGCACACCCTAAGAGTTTGCGTATTATTGACCCGCTGAATAAAACAGCAAAATTAGATAGGCAATACAAAAGACACAAGAAACCCTCGCACCTGGTGCTTTCTTGTCTCTGATTGCAGTTATACATTTTGAGCTTTTTTGTGTTTTATCAATCAAACACAAACGATGACTGATGTCAAGAACATCTTCAGAGAAATACTTTACAAACAATAAATCACAAGAGATGCTCAGATGTGTGAACTTCATTTGATGTTTTGCTGTTTTGTGGGCCTGTTTTCTTTGTTGGAATGTAGTTGTAATTTTTATTTCGTCAGATGAATATTATAATTCTCGTAGCAGGTGTGAACATGGCAGTCCTTGAACACAATCAATTTTAGAATGCACGTATGTAACTGTGCCAACAGAATTATGCAACATTACTTTATTTCTAATGCCGTTTTTTAACGTTTCTTTACATCAACATTTAATGTAATTTTCCCATAATAAATCGTAAGCAGCATGAATATTGAAAACTTCTATTATTCATCTTGTATCATAGATTTCGTATAAATAAAGTAAAAGTAAATTCACACGAGGAAATGAAAATAATTTTTTAACTATATAAATATTTCTAATATATTTTATGCTTTGTTTAAAAATTAATTATAGAGAACAAATTAAACGCTTACGGCTAGAGAAAAAAAACTCTCCCCAATCTTCTTTTCTTTTTTTGTGTAATGTAAATTTAATGTTTGCAATCCAATATGCACGATTGTAAAACGCTAGATGTACTAAGAATAAATATCAGGCAAAAGCTGCCTGTGGAATTTTATTATTTAATAATAATAGTACGTTAACATACAGAATTAACAACGAGTAATAGTAGTGATCAAAAGCTGCCTGTGGAATTTTATTATTTAATAATAATAGTACGTTAACATACAAAATTAACAACGAGTAATAGTAATGATCTAAGGAGATTTTCTTAAAGAAGATATTCTAATGTATTATAGAAAGAAAACTACATAATATTTGTATAAAATTTTGTCCTAAACAGTCGTTCTCTCCTAACCAAATTGTTTGAGGAAACTTAGTAAAGAAGAGAGGATTCCCATTAATTCACGATGCTAAAACTACAACTCTCTTGTCTTGTATTGACAAGAAGGAAAAATTAAACTTTTCTCCAGTAGTACATCCTAGGGATTTTGTTCAAAATTGATTTCATTTTTGCAACAATACAGTATTTCTATACCATTTCAGATATCATCTTTTTTTATACTATTTCTCTCATTATCAGCACTTGAAGCTAAACAAACAAGAATTTTAACAATCGAAGGAATTTAGAATTCCAAAAAAAGGTTGATTCAACTGATTTCAGACAGAATCATTTGTGTAAACTGTTCAAGTGAGCTAAAACCGCGTTGAATAATCCACCTTTTCCCTGTGTCACATTTATTCTAATGTAGTGTAACTATTTACTTCTTTCTATTTTGATAACTATACACTCTTTCAAATATCGAGTTAATTATTTTCCAAATAGTTCTTTTACAATTCTTACATGTATCAAATATAGAGCACTAGATAGACATACTCAGGTGAAACTGCACAGCTAATTACCAAATGTAATATACATTTATATTGTTAGAAGGGGGATTGTTTTGTAAATTTTGCTGGTTTCATCAGATTTTCAATTGTAAAACTCTAAAGTTTTGGATATATTTGGACTACATGTGTTTTTACCTATATCATCACCCTCTAAATGTAAATCTATGAAATTCAAATGAGACACACCTCTTTTGACTGTTTGCACAAAGAGGAGGAAATTCACTAAGGCGGCGCCATGTCCATGACCAAACAAGGTAACTCGGTTTGGGTCACCATCAAAGGATGCAATATTCTCTTTGATCCAAGTCAAGACTGCCAGTAGGTCAAGCAAAGCCTGATTTCCATTGGCATTAGGGTGGCCAGTCCCGAGGAAACCTGTAAAGTACATTGTATATTTAAAAATACCTTCATTTTTTATAGCTTTCATGGAGGAAATGACAGGTTCAATAATTGATGCCAATAAAAAGAAATCAATATGAATAATGGTGGTTAATTTTCTCTATCCTCAACAGTACATCTTAACAGTTCTCAATTAAAGCTTGCAAAAATTTATTGAGTTGTTTTCCCTAAAGCATAAGCTTCTTGCTTTAATCAGACATTTTTGTTAAACAAGATTTGTCATATCAAATAATTATGATATTCTCCTTTTTTTCTTATAATTACTCATAAAAAGCTCGCTGTTAATTCTTGCATTTCACCTTGCCAAGTCGCTATTGCATTTTCTAAATATACAAGTTCAGTATATGGGAAAAAAATGAATTTTGCCATTTCGTATGACCATAAAATAAATAAAAAATGAAGAGAAAAACAACGATGAAAAGAAGTCCTCTATATATTTTAATTCCCCAAAAGGACAAACATGCATTTATTAATAAAATACACTTTAATATAATACCGTACTTCCAAATCTTCAAAAATAATTGACAGATTTTTCAGAAAAGATTAAATCTATTCAGATATTTTTTGTGTCCCTGTTTTTAATTCTAATAACGACAGTATCTTTTTTGTCTTTTAGGAGATACTGCGCTAGTTTAAGTACGTAGAAAAAAAGAACTTCTTGCTAAAATAACTGACCTAAAACTCCGAGGCGGTAATTTACTGTGATCACAATGACCTTGCCGTAGCTAGCCAACACGCTTCCCTCGTAGGCATTTCCGGTTCCTATGTCATACGATTCTCCGTGTATGAATACCATTACCGGGAACGGAGAAGAATTGTCCTTTTCTGAAAGATAAAAATAAACATTATGATAATGGATGTTTTAAAACAACTGAAATAAAATTTAATCCTGAAGAAGTTGACTTGCTTATTCTTAAGACCTCTCGTTCACTATATCTTAACAGAAAAAAATTTAAACTTAATAGATCGAATCACAACAAAGTCAATATAAATCAAGATGGGAGACATTTTACTTTAATAATTGAGAATTTGCAGAGAGGGATTTACTCCAGTATTTATACAGCATTTCCAATGCTAGCTACACAGCTATCCTTCATATTGGTTAGAAATTCTATAAGCAAAGAAGGGGGAAATCTATTGACATTTAAATAAAAATTTAAAAGAGATATTAAAAATCTACCTTACGTGAAAAATAGAGAGAGAGAAAAAAAAAGTTGCTGTTCTTAAAAAGGACTGCAGTATGTGGATTCCTAACAGAAATCCGAAAAAAACTTAATTTTTTCAGAACGATGTAAAAAGTCTTAATTGCTAAATTTAGCCGAAATGATAAATAATATCATGGTCTTAACATTTAATGTTGATCTAGGTACTTATTACTGTAATATTAATGTAGTCTAGAAAATTAAGACCGCGGAACATTAACAGACATTTCAACAATGCATTTCAAAGTAGAATTTCAATCCAATATTTTCTCGGACGTCCGTGTACAATCGTACCCGCCCTTTCCATTGTCTATCATTAATGTTTTGACTGTGACAGATGGAAATGACGTAAGCTGCAAATTTCCAATCTTGCCTTAACCTTAGAATTTATAGAGAGTAACATATATCATAACAGATGTGACTTGTTTGATAAAATTAACAGGAATCAAGACGTCATCCCCCTTCCTATAAAACTCGTGCTTTCGCCTTTCAATTCAACCCTGGATCAATCTCCAAAATTGAAAATTAATTAAAGATAAGAACACTAAAGTTTTAATCATGGTCCTAGATTTATTACACATCGAAAAAATTCAATATTTTCTGTCAAATCTTAGCGATTATGATGTTGATTTTCAATTATGGAAAGTGACATGTTAATTGTAGAATTCAATCAACGCTGAACGGAACAAGTTGATGAAATTTCTTTGACAGTAGTAATTGACCCATGGGTATCAATTAACACAGTAAACGCGTGTCATCTTCACACGGAGCCTTAGCCCTCGACGTCAGTTTGACGTGACAGTTGATATTCTGTCCATGACGGGGGATAGTCACGTGACATTGATGGAGCTATAATTAGTTTGTAGCTTCACTGAGACAATGTCATTTATTAAAGTGCTTGACAAATTGGTCAAATACAAAACTAATTCATTTGCGCCTATACAACATCTGATATAGAAACAAGTTTCTTAAAATTCATATCTATTTGTCAGTAACGTTTCTTAGTAGAAATATCGACTGTTAATCTGTCGTGTAGCCCAAATCGCACGCAGATACAGTTCGTCCTGTTCAATGTTTTGGTGATTTTCAATGATGCTAAGATTATAAAATAAACTAAGAAGATAAGATGTAAAAGTTTTTCACCCATTTATATAGTTTATATATTAATTAGCAAGCGGTATTGTAATTGTTTCATTTTCGATTTCTACCTATCAAAGAAAGATTTAACATCAAAAGAACGTTCATTGTTATACGTTAGAACACCATGTAATTGTTACTCCAGTTTCAAAGCGAAGGATTTATTATTTCAGTGGACTACACTGTACAATGATGATAGTTTGAATAACAACGCTGAAATAAAGGATATCGTGCAATATGTAAATTCATATCGATCTGCGGGAACACAGAATTTTATCATCTAAATAGACTACATGATAGAGTATCATCTAAATAAACTACACGATCATAGAGTATCGTCTAAATAGACTAAACGGTAGAGTATTTGGAGACCCAAACCTGTTTTTGGTACATGTTTGATAAAATTAAAGGACTATTAAAAGCACAAGAAAATTATATATATATATATATATATATATATATATATATATATATATATATATATATATATATATATATATATATACACACACACACACACAATTCGATGACTGTCTTCCTTCTCCACAAGACAATGATCAATGATACCCTTTTTTTTCCCTTCCCCAATCAACACTGCACAAAGAGGAGAAATGCAGTAGATAAGGCAACGCAATTTACAAAGATACAAAAATAACACTGAATTGTATTTAGTTTCTTTTTGGAATAATTAACCATAGCATTTATTCAAAATCCACTAAAACTCTCAAATCGGTCTGATTTCAAAGTAAAGCATAGTTCCTAAACATTTTTGCGCCAACTTCAGCAGAGCAATTACGGGAGAACCCGAGTCTACCTTATAACATTCAAAATCCGTAGCCTTGATATTTTTTTTAATCTTAAATAGATCCTTTTTGTGTTCAGTCCCCATAGTATAAGTAAGCTTGTTATGGGTATAATATACTGTCTTCATCTTATTATTGCAGTCCTAAGTATTCAAAACACTTCTACAACCGTTCAAATTTGAACGTCGCACAGTAAAATTAACCTTATGGTTATCTGTTTCTATTAATTTAGAACAGAAAAGTCTCTTTCATTGTTTCGTGCTTCTTATTATTAGTATAATCTGTCTTCTTTGGACCATTAATGATGCCAAACAAAGGACTTACAACACGGCATCACGCTATCCCCATCGCATCACACGAAACAACTGACATTCAAAGAACAAACTGTGTTGATTTGTATTACAATTGTAATATAACACAACAGACCACTAGACAGAAGTAATAACTGTACAGTTAACTGAATGCCTTGGCCAATTCGTGATCTGTTTCATCTACTTGTCTGGAAAGAAAATCTTTTACTTTCTTCGGTTCGATATTTCGGTTCCATGCCAGTTTTCTGGTCATCAGACCTGATTTTTCTGATAAATGTTTGGTTTTCCAGGATAATAAGACACTAAACTCCTTCTGCAAATATTGGAATTGTTGCCTACTATATTATGGTAGAAACACAAATGGATTAAAACTCGCATGAATGTTATAGTAATTGTCAGTATCTAAAAATAAAAACTAGAGAAAAGACAGCTTTATTACATACACATTGATTTAGATTAAAAGAAATCTATAGACCATTTATTTACATTTTTGGTCTCGGAACAGTTATGACAAATGAAGATGCTTGTAGTATATGTCAATATATGCATCTTATATATTCGAATGCAAAAATAAATAAATTAATTAAAAAATACTAGTACTCAATTAAAAGAAAAAAGGAAAATAGACAAAAGATATATAGAAGACAGAGAAAAAATGAACAAATATTATCATGAAAATCTATTATAAATGAACCGCTATTTGCTTTCAATGTGGGCTGAATCATCTACTTGCTCTACAGATAATATTCACTTTTCAGTCCATTAATGCCGTAAGACTACATTGTCCTCGAAAAGAAAAAAAATGCTTTGTTACAATAATTTTTCCAGAAATAGGACAAGAAATGTTCAATGGTTGTGGTAATCCTCCATTATTATCAGTTGTACTTTAGAAACTGTTGAAGTCGACGTCTTTTATTTTCTTTATACAATAAAAATGAAGCAATATAAATCTGAACTTGAACTATTCATTGTTATTTACCCCATTTTATCGGAAAAATTTACTTTAATTGGTTTGTTTCAAACATCTTGCATATGTACAGCAATTTTGCGACAGCACAATAACCATGCGGAATGAATTGCAAGAATTAAATGCATATTAAAAAGATGCTAGAGTTCCTCATTGACAATATCTATGTAGTCTAACAATCTGTTGGAATACCCAGGATAAGTATGCCTATAATTAGCAGCCAAGTTTTTGTAAATATACGAAGCCGAATTTATTCAAAAACTATTATATGAAAAAAAGTATCTTCCTATGGCCTTCAATTCGACATTTAGATATATCAATTAATCATTTGATATATAGTTGAGGTAGACTAATGACAAAAATGTTCATGATACAAGGGTAACTACCATCTTGTTTAAAGTCGACATTTCGCAAATTCGATGGTGGTTACAATGACCTTGTTTGTAAATACAATCTGTCGTTAGGTCGAATGTTGACTGACGTCTTTCATACAAATTGTTAGGCTATTATTTTCATACTGAATTGACTAAGAATATCTTCGTTTACCCGATCACGACAAAGGGCACACGGCTGGTGAAACTAGTCGACAGGGGAAGCTTACTCCTCCATGGCACCCGATTCCACCTCTTATGTTTTTAGAAGTCCGTGTTTGCTCAATTTTCAATGAATTTTTGAACAGTTAGTGTTAGGGCTTTCATACTTCACATATGCATTCCTTGTGACAAGACCTTCCTTTAGATACCAAAAACTCTGACCTTCTTTTGAAAAACTTTAACCTTGGCAATAACTTTTGAACAGTTGGTGTTAGGGCTTTCATACTTCACATGTATATTCCTTTGGATACCAACAATTTTGGAATTGACCTTGGAATTTGACCTACTTTTAAATTTTTTTAACATTGGCCATAACATTTGAACATTTGGTTCTAGGGCTTTCACATTTTACGATCATGTGTATCACTTGTGATAAGAACTCCCCTTGGGCACCATTTGACCTTGACCTTCCTGTTTTACTTACTTTGAAAAAACTTTAACCTTCGCCATAACTTTTCAACGGTTTGTACTAAGACTTTCATATTTCAGAGGTATATTCCTCGAGACAGGACCTTTTTTTGGGTACCAACATTTTTGATTTCTTGACATGGAGTTTGACTTGCATTCAAGAAACTTTAACTTTCGCCATAAGCTGCCATACGGGGGCATCAGTGTTTCACAAACACATCTTGTTTGACTTGTACTTCAATTGTCATTGATAACCTTACAAAAGAGAGTCAAAAACTATGAAAAAATAAAACTTTTTAAACAAAATACTAGTTACTGTACTCTAATGGTCAAATTTCATGTTTTTGCATTACATGAGATTTTTCAACAAGCTTAAGACGAACATTTAAACTTCTCTTCCACAT